CCACTGGTCATGGAGTGTGGGGGGCAAAGGGGCTCATTTGGGGACGTAGTGTGGGAGAAAGGGGCCACTGGGTTTTACTGTATTTTGGGGAGGGGGCTCCCCTGGGCACTGTGAGTGTGGGAGGAAAGGGGCTCCTTTGGGGACTGTGATGTGGGGCAGGGGCTCCCCTGGGTTTACTGTGAAATGTGGGAGGGAGGGGGCTCCTGGTGACGATGTGGGGGGAAAGGGGCCCCATTGGGGGCACTGTGGGGTGTGGGAGGAAAGGGCTCACTGGTGACTTGAATGTGGGGGGAGGGACTCACTGGGACTGTGGTTTGGGGAAGGGGGGGCCCCCTTTGGTTTTACTGTGAGTGTGGGAGGAGGGACCACCCGGTGACTGTGAGTGTGGGAAGGGGGGCTCACTGGTGACTAGTTTTTTGGGGCAGGGCTCACCCGGGGACTGGAGTGTGGGAAAGGAGGGGCTCACGGGGGCACTGTGGGTGGGGAGAGGAAATCACTGGGAAATGTGGGGTGGGAAAAGGGGGGACTCACTGGTTTTTACTTTGAGTGGGGAGGAGGGACTCACGGTTTTTAAATGTGAGTGTGGGAGGGGGGGGACTCACTGGTGCACTAGTGTGGGAGGAGGGCCCCCAGGGGACTGGAGTGTTGGGAGGAGGGACCCCCCACCCTTTTTCCCCACTGGGCATGGGGAGTGGGGGAGGGGGGGACTCACTGGTGGGATGTGAGTGTGGGGGGAAAGGGGCCATTGGGGAAATGTGGGGTGTGGGGGGAGGGAATCACTTGGGGACTGTGAGTGGGGGGAGGAGGGCTCACTGGTGCACTGTGAGTGTGGGGGAGGGGACCCACTGGTTTCAAATGTGAGTGTTGGGGGGAGGGACTCCTGGTGCACTGTGGGGTTTTGGGAGGGGGGACTCACTGGTGACTTGAGTGGGGGGAAGGGGGCTCACTGGGGGCACTGTGAGTGTGGGAAAGGGGGGAAAACCCCTGGTGAATGTGAGTGGGGGGGGGGACTCACTTGGGCACTGTGAGGAGGGACCATGGGGCACTGGGAGTGTGGGAGCAGGGACTCACTGGTGTACTGTGAGTGGGAGCCGGGGCTCCTGGGCACTGGAGGTGGGGGGGGGGACTCATGGGGTATGTGAGTGTGGGAGCAGGGGCCAGGTTTTTACGTGAGTGGGGGAGGGACTCACTGGGCATGGGGTGTGGGAGCCGGGACTCCCAGGGTGATGTGAGTGTGGGAGAAAGGGACTCAGGGTGTGGGGGGGGAGGGAAACCCTTTCCCTGTGACCGAGTGTGGGGAGGGAAACTAAAATGGGCACTGTGAGGGGGTGGGAGCAGGGACTCACTGGGATTGGGTTTGGGGG